TTCCCCAGCCAGCATGGCTGACTGGGGGAATTCTGGGAGTTGAAGTCCACACATCTTAGAGTTGCTAAGGTTGAGAAACAATGCTTTAGTGTATCATCCAAATGCTGGCTAATGGTATCTCTTCCTAAGCTCCTCTTTGTGTCCTGCTTGCTACAGGATGACACTTCATTAACCATTTTTGAGGGACACGTCCTCAGGATGTCACCTCCATCGCACCTCCAACCCTCTGCTGAAGCAACCAGGAGCATCTTCACTTGTTCCAGTTTGGAAGTAGAGTTTTACTTCTTCCCCCATGCAGAAAATCTAGGATTCACACATGAATAATCAGGAGTACCTGGAGATGACATGGTCAGGGGCCGTGATCTGCTCAACTTCTTTTGAAGATGATCCTACTTTCAGAGGCCAGCCTTTCTGACACCTGGGAGAAGGCCATCCTTGTATCACATCCCAAGCTACTGGATTCTTGTGCATTCTCCAGTTCAGTTGAGTGGCGGGGAGAGCTTTCTCTGTCCTCTGGCTTTGTTTACTTTTAATGGCAATAATGCTCTTACCCAGCGAGACACAATTTTCCCTAGGTTGAATTCTGAGCAGAAGTGTGCAATTTTCCTTTGGTCCAGTACAGGACTGGACGCCCCTAAAGGGAAGGACTTTCATCAACCTTAAGAAATTCATGCTTGCAGCCACTGCTGGAGAATTTAAAGATGGTGTTAGTTAAGCTATTTCTAGATCAGTGTCTCTCAACCTTGGCAACTTGACAATGTGTGGACTTCAACTCCCATGCCAGCTGGGGAATTCTGGGAGTTGAAGTCCACACATCGTCAAGCTGCCAAGGTTGAGAGACACTGCTCTAGATTAAAAAAAAAAATTAAATAAGTTCATGACAGCTAGGGGGAGCCTTGAAACCTGAAGGCCAATAGTAAAAAATGTTACATCTTGATTTCACCATGGAAACCATGTCACAGTTATATTTGCCTAGTCTTTAGCATAAGAGTTTAAATTAGGGGCCCTTCACTCAACCTGTTGGCCCAGTGAGGCACCCCATTTGATCACACGTTTATCGTTTGCCATGGCAAAATAAAATACTGGTGGTTTTCCTACCGTTGTCTGGTTAATTGGGACAACTGCTGTGTGACAAACTAACATTTGGAAATTATTATTTCGGTGACACCACTTAAGAGAACAGGGCATCAGTCCATTGGCCTTCCCTCCCTGTGAGGCAACAAGGGTTAGCTGGGGGGCAAAGCTTGGAAACCAGGCAGAGACCCAGTCTGTCCTTCCCAGTTAATATCCCTAAAAATCTTGAACAAATTTCAGTTACTCGTGTGTGGCTGCCTTTTCAACCCCTCTGCCAAGGAGCAAAGCCTCGAGGCCTGATATTACCTATTTCTTCCTGCAGGAGAAGGCCAAGATTCATCTTGGGGTGGCAGGCAAGGTGGTCAGAAGTTGCAATTTATATTTCAAATGTATTTCTATTTCAAATTTAGTCACCTTCCAGCTCACTCAAGGCCCCACTGGCTGCATGGCCCAAGCTGGTGGGCCCATTTAGGCCTGTGGTTGGAGTCCTGTTTCTGACTTAAAGCCATCTAAGCTGGTTAGGTCTGCCAAGATCTGTCATCAATCAAGCTTGGTCCATGCTAGACAAATGTATTTAAAATAGTGTTAAGTATCTTGCTTTTGGGGAAATAGCTTAGAGATCTATTTCCTTCTAAACAGTTGTGCAACATCTACTGTTTGCCAATGGTGTTTTGTTTTGTTTTTCTTCCTTGTAGCATGAAATCGTTCAACATTGGGAAGAGTTGGTTATTTAGTTATTTCCCATATTTCTAGACCAGCGACTCCAACACACACACAAAATATTGTAGTAAAGAGCTGAGGGATGTTAGCTACGGCAACGGGATAAGCCAAATTCAGAATCAGGCACTAGGAAAGGGCAAACATACAAACTGGGCCAACTGTGAGAAGGGTTTTCTTAAAAATCAAAATGTACATTTCACCGAGGTCATAAAAAAGCTTTGTGAATATTTAGCTGAGGCCAGTAATTGTGCCACATGCAGATCTGAGGTAATACTTTCAGGAATTTATAATCTCACTTACTAAAAGGATTTCTGGATTGTATAGTCAATTATACTTGCCATTTGTGAGAGCATTTTGAATAATTATAAAAATAAACTCGATTAATAATGCTGGTGAGGGATTATAAAGTTCAAAACATCCAGAGTGAATGTATTGTCAGATAGTAGGACTGGGCCCAAAACATCTCTCCCTTCTCTAGTTGAAAATGTTTTCATGTGTTTTGGGGAGGGGCATCATTTTTTCCCGCTTTTTTCAGTTATTCTGAGGAAGTTCTGAAGAAAATTAGAGGCAGAAGACACAAGAATGCATTCCCTTTGCTTTTTTCCCCCATTTTCCCCATTTAAACAAATGTTGCCAATGTTTTTTCATGGTAAGTATGACCTGCCCTCCTCCCATAAAATTACACTTAAATTATATTTATAAAGTAGGTTGCTTCTGTAATGAGGACAGATCGGGTTATTAATGCTGACTAGGGATGATGGGAGTTGCATATGGCAAATGATGGCCAGGGATGTTTACAGGAGGGGGTCAAAAAAGTCAAGATGGCGGCCATGGCTGCTCAGTTGAAATTTTGTCTTTTTTTCTATGCCAGGTAAGTTTGCAGCGGGGTGAGATGCCCTGATGATCCTGGAGTTGAAATTTGTTCAATGTTAAGGATTTTTATCTGTGTGCCAGGTCCTTGCAAAGAGCCAGATAAATACATAGGAGATTCTTGCCTCATTCAGATGCCTGTGGGCAGGTGTGTCTGCCTTTCAAAGGAGGTATATGAAAACACAGGTTGGTTAGGGTTGTATTTGTGCTGTGTGGACTTGCAGTGCTGTAGGAATCAAGGAATGGTTGGAGAGGAGCTTTGGAAGAAAGTGAAATCTGTAATTAGTTAAGGATCTTACAGACCCAGCAAGGAGCAAGCAGGATCCCAAAGAGAGAGCTGCTGAATGATGGGCTGGTGGGAAAGGACTGAAATGTTTGGGAAGGACAGACTGGAAATAAAGCTTGACCAAGATTCAGGATTTCAAGAAGCTTGGGAAACGTGTGTGTGTTTTCTGCTTTCCCTCTTCTTTTCTAGGCTAAAAGCAAACCCTGAATAAAAATCTTGTTCAACTATTTAAGGGAGTGAGCATATTAAAGTAGAGATAAAAAAAACGCCTAAGGGGATAAAGAGAGGGAAGCTGTGTAAAAAATATACATCTCTAAATGTATAATTTGTTCAGCTAAGGTCACTGCATATAAAAGAAATCAATTGTTTACTTGAAAGGTACACGGTAACAATAACCATCACTGTAGTTTGGAAAACAGCATTTTCACATCTGGAAAGTTGTACTCTCCCCCCCCCCCCGACAAGGGCTGGAGAATGCTGAAAATACTGTCAAATGTTCACTTTTTCTCAACTGGTGGGCTCAAATCAATGGGGACCAACTATTACCAATTTATAAAATATTCTTGAAGAGTTTCAAATTCTGAAATTTTATTTCTTTGAAACGGTTGTGATTCTATACACAGCTAGGATGTGGCTGTTTCTGGTGATGTCATGCTTAATTCAGCAGACTGAACATTCAGAAGGATCTATAAGTGGAAGACATTTGAATCCTCAAGAATTCATGACGATTGTAAGTTGCTTATTTGAATGCCTTTGAAAACAGAACATTGGATTCACGTGATAAAAGCATGCTTATAATTTCACTTTTTAAAACTGGCTTTCAAGAAAAGCTTTTCTCATGCCTGCCATGTGGTTTTAAACAAATTTATAGCTACTTTTAAAGATTTAAATAAGCTTTAACTGACACCCAAATACGAGAGACTATTTGGGCCATTTGGAGTACCCATGGTATGAAAAAAATGAAGTCCTACCCTTCTTACATGCATCACATGACACTTTTAAAAAGGGGTGGAGTTTTCATCACATGGTTGCAGCCATCTTGACTTTTCCTCCTCTGCAGACATTCATATTGAGTTGAATCTGGAGTAAGTCACAACAGGACTATAAATGAGACTAAATGATTTTGATATTTCTATTTTTGATTTACAGGAGGACATTTCCAAATTGCCACTGTTTACCCCTAGCAGCTATTTAAAACCAGCCCATAATTATATATAACTTCACTAATCTTAACTCACTGAAAGTCCTACATGAAAAGTTTAGTGCTCCTCCCGACTGACCATGGGAAGAAAATCAGGTAGAATCTATGCCAGACCCCTCCCATCCATGTCGTAACTTCATTTTTGTAGTGGTTATTGCTAGTGTGGAGTGCAGAAAGTGTGGAGTCTCAGCAACTTAATCTCTGGGGTTGTGGGGAGCCTAGGAAATGAGAGGCAGGACAAGGCCAGAATTCCTGCCACTGTACAATCAACCATTTTCACCTCCATTCCAGAAGTTAATTGGCTTTGCTGCCCAACAAAGACAATAGCATGAGCACAGAGCTGATTCAATAGAGGTACAAATGGTGTGTGTGGAAGGGCCAGAAGCCTGGACCCATTCCAGCCTAAGATGTTCCTCTTGGTGAATCATTCCTATGTAGGGTCTATCCAAATGTGGCAGTTTGCCTTAAACTATCAGAGACAGTTTTATGCTGTGGCATGGAAGAAAGCAGGTGTGATCAACCAGATGTGAAGATTCTAATGTATAGAGCAAGATTGGTTTTGATATTGTCAGTATTTATCATTTCTGCCCTTTCTTCTTGGTAGCGTTTTTGGAACTGCTGTCTCATTAAAGCTGGAAGGGGAGCCCCAAAGTCATTGGCTTTGTGTTGGCACTGATAGCTCTAATATAGGAACTAGAAATCTTCTGGATTCTCAATCCATTGAATGGATAGTGAATATATACCTGATTTTGGCCAAAAGTGTAATATTTTATAATATTTTATTTGCAGCCTCAAGTCATCCAGTACTGGGGATATCCCAGTGAAGAGTATGAAGTCCTGACTGATGATGGCTATTATCTTAAGTTAAACAGAATTCCTTCTAGAAGACATTTTCCTCATGTGACAGGTATGTCTATAAGGTAGCAATTCAAAGGGAGTGTGTATAAATGTAAAGTGATAATTGTGATAGAAGTGGCTAAAAAGTTATGTGGCAAGCAATACTCAATGTTTTTACAGTGCTAGAGAAGTATTGGATAGGCTTCTCTAGAAGTATGGGACAGTACTGATAGCTTGTTGGAAAACTACTGTAGGTAATTTTCACTTTAATTTGCATCTAGCACACTCCCATTAATCCTTATATCTGGATCCGAGTCAGCATACAGGCTACTCAGTACTGCTAGCAAAAAATATATAGATCCTGGTGTTTATTTATTAAACATCAGCAAACATTGAAACAGTTAACTGGAAAGGACAAGATAAAATCCCAGCAAAAACATAGAGAAAGAATGAACAGTGGCAAGAACGAACATTATCTACATATCTTTACATTGAAAGACACCAAACTTTCTAAAGCCACGGAAAACAATACTCTGAGTAATTAGCATAGCTAGTCCCAAACAGAGTGGTCTTTGGTTATTCAAACCAACCCTTTTATGTACATAGTGGCAGCAGAGTTGAGATGGAAAATAGGACATTAGGTCCTACTCCTCTATTTCTACTTCTCCTCTATTCTCAACATTAAAGAAACAATTTGATGGACAGGGAAGATATATCCAACATAGCTAATATGCAATGAACAATACACTCTTTTACAGGGCCTAAGCCAGCTGTATTATTGGTACATGGTTTGCTATTTGAAGGGAGATGTTGGATTGCAAATCTTCCCAGCAATAGCCTGGGATTTTTTCTAGCAGATGCTGGCTATGATGTCTGGATAATAAATATCAGAGGGACCTCTTGGTCTAGAAGACACCAGAAGTTTTCAATTGACCAGCAAGAATTCTGGGAATTCAGGTAAATTCAAGAGAGAATATAGGGACGATGGATAGTAAAAGTTAAGAAGATACATGCCTACACACCTGTGTGACAAATTTGACTGAATTATGGAATTATGAACAATACTGTATATACTGAAAGCATGGTCTGAATGAGAGGTTTTGTGGCATTCCTAATACCAAAGTTTTTAGTATTAGAACTTACCGTATTTTTCCATGAATAAGACGCCCCCATGTATAAGACCCCCACTTTTCCAACCCAAAATTAAGAAATCAATATTTTAAAGAT